GCTCTGCATCTTCTCCACAGCTACTAAGTGCTGTCCACTAACATGTACAGGCCCTGAATCACACTTGGACCTTAAGACAACAGGTGGTCTAATTTAAAATCCCCCAAGGGAAACTGTTGGTTGTACAGACATTTTCAAAGTTGCCAGTGTTACTTTAATTGGACTGCCTTCATAATTCATTGCCTCTGCTTCAACAATGTGTAACTTATCTTTTGCACCAGCTCCTAAACTGACCGTTCTTAATGATAGCTGGTGTTCATTTTCATCATTATCCACCTTAAAGTGATAGTCTTTGTCAGCCTTTAGTTCACAGCCGAAAAGATAGTTTTGGGGCCTGAGAGGGCTCATGTCCATGTCCATCGAGTCTTCCATGAGGCAAAGGCTCTCACTTCGCTGTGAGAGAGTCCGGAAGGAGATAACTGACTACAGCCCCTCACAACAGATGCACAGGACGGAATCTCGCCAGGGAAAGCAGAAAATATTTTTTTAAAGTGTTCAACATCCTTAGTCATCGAGGAAATGCAAATTAAAACTACTTTGGGATTCCAACTCACCCCAGTTAAGAGTGACTATCATCAAGGAAACCAATGACAATAAATGCCTGATGAGGATATGGGAGGAGGGGAACCCTTGTCCTCTGTTAGTAGGAGTGCAAATGGACACAGCCACTGAGGAGATTGTGTGATGGCTCAAAAATCTAAAACTAGAACTACCATATGACCCAGCTGTAGCACTCCTGTGTATACTGTGTACACTCCTGTGTACACTACAAGTATCCTACTACAGAGATACTTGCATATTCCTGTTCATTGCTGCTCTGTTCACAATAGCAAGGAAATACAATCAACCTAAATGTCCATCAACTGATGAAAGGCTAACAAAAATGTAGTGCATATATACAATGGAAATTTGTTCATCCATAGAGAAAAATGAAATTATGAACTATGAATGAAAATGGATGGAATTAGAAAATATATTAATTTATATAATATATATATGTGTGTGTGTGTGTATTTATGTGGGAGTGCCAATATGCAGAGCCCAGGGATCTGGAATGGGGCCCATGAGAAGGGGAAGTGATTCTTTAAGGGGGAGAGGGTAGAACAAATGTGACATAAAATAGAAGAGGTAATACTGAGAATAGCAAGGGAGTAGGGGCAGGGAGACAGAGGAGAGGAGGCGGTGGGGGAAGGGTTAACCAAAATGTTGTAAGAAGAAAAATAAGGAAATTTGACACTTTATAAGCTACTCAAAAAATAAAACTTAGGACTGGAGAGATTGCTCAGTAGTTAAGTGCACTAGCTGTTTTTGCAGAAGACACCAGTTTGAATCCCAGCACCCACACAGAAGCTAAACAACCATCCATAACTCCAGTTCCAGGAGATCTAATGGCCTCTTCTGACCTCCATGGGCATTGCACAAGGATGCACTTACATATATGCGGGCATAACACTCATACACATAAAAAAATAAAAATAAGCTCTCCTGCCCTCAGGCCTCTCTTGGAGTAAGCCTATCGCACAGCCCTCCACGCCTTGACTCCCCCAGCCGCGCTCACCCTTCCATCTCCCCCGCTGTTCTCTACTCCTAGTTTGGGCCCTGTGCCATCGGGCATTGCACAAGGATGCACTTACATATATGCGGGCATAACACTCATACACATAAAAAAATAAAAATAAGCTCTCCTGCCCTCAGGCCTCTCTTGGAGTAAGCCTATCGCACAGCCCTCCACGCCTTGACTCCCCCAGCCGCGCTCACCCTTCCATCTCCCCCGCTGTTCTCTACTCCTAGTTTGGGCCCTGTGCCATCCCTAGTCTTGGGGCCCCAGACACCTGGGGAGCCAGTGTTGCTTCCTGATCCTTTTCACCCAGACCGGCTTGGTGCCTTCCTTGGGCCCCAGGAGCACGGCTTCTGGACCTGGCCCCGCCCTCACTTCTCTCTGCTTCCCTGGACCTGCACCACCGGCTAACTCTCCTGGCCTGCTCTCCTACCCTCAGGCCTCTCTTGGGGTAAGCCTATCGTGGAGCCCTCTGCGCCTTGACTCCCCCGGCCTCATTCACCCTTCCATCTCCCCCCCTGTTCTCTACTCCTAGTTTGGAACCTGCGCCATTCCTAGTCTTGGGTCCCCAGACACCTGGGAAACCAATACTGCTTCCTGATCTTTTTCACCCAGACCAACTTAATGCCTTCCTTGGGCTCCAGGAGCACTGCTTCTGGACCTGGCCCCGCCCTCACCTCCCTCTACTTCCCTGGTCCTGCAACACCCGACAGCCTCTTTCTGGGGCTGACAGCCTCTTACTGGGGGCTCCGAGGCTTACCTTTACTCTCCCTGATCCTTTGCATACAGTACAACCCAGCTACTCAATCCACTCCCTGGGAAATCTTGGGGCTTCTTCCCTCCCCATCTGCTTTTG